GCATCAGATTCGGCTGATGATATTATAAGCAGCTTTAAGCAATTACTTACTTCTAAAAAAATGATGTATAATTGTACCATACTACCTTGGGAAAATATGTAAGTGAGCTATAAAGGAACCAATAAACACAAACCCTAATGAAAAAGTCTTGCTAATTACTTTAAAATATGCATTAAAAACTTTTCGTTCACAGCGGCAGAAGATGATAATAAACCAGGGTCTGAAGGGAAGACAGGCACAGAACTTGATATTGAATCAATTAAAAGGAAAACTCGGCAAGGCAATGATGCAACAAATTAAAACGCATACGAAGCGAGCTAATGAAATTCTAAGGCTCAAATGGTTAGGAAAGCCACCTTCTTCAAAGAAAAGGGGCTGCCGAATGGGGAAGTTCGCTGCTTTTCGCCAACTTCTTCCATGGACAAGGGCGGAAATTACCGAAAAATTGTGCCGAGTAGATGAGCAACAACAATAAACTTGGCGCAAAAAATTAAGGCAAGTGGAGTTAAAAGTTAAGCCAGCAAATGAAGATGTGGATGGTTCTGGAAGTGGGACAGGCGGCTGGGCTGCAGAAAGGAAGATTCGGATGAATGGGAAGTGCAGGGACCCTGGTCCTGACGAACGGCCTATCACACATACGATATATAGAAAAAAGTATTCGACTCGAAAAATAAAACGTTTTAAATACTATAAATAATAAAGCTACTTTAAAACCCTGTACACCAATATAGCTTTTTTCATAAGTTAAACAATTATAAGCAATTTTATAGTGTGTATTTTCGAAAAATAATACGTCTTAAATACTACAAATAATAAAGCTAATTTTAAATCCTGTACACCAATATATATAGCTTTTATCATACGTTAAACAATTAAAGGCAATTTTATAGTGTGTATTGCATTTGATTTTATTTGATTTGATTTTATTCGATCGTTTTACCTATGTTTTATGTTACCTAGACATTTCTATTGCACTGATTTCCTACCTTATTTTGTTGATAGTTGAGCTTATGAAATTTGAGTACGGAACTTTTCTCGCTGTGTACATGTGAGTACACAGCCCACACGCACACAAAGCGCAAAGGCAAAGAGACAGATGGCGGGGCGAACTTCAAGCGCAATTTTACGCAACAACAAAAAGTTTAATTGAGGATAAACTTTGCTGCGTTTGCGCTGCTGTTGAAAATCAACCAACGTCGACATGGAAAATTTCGCCAGCCCGGGAAAATCCCGACAAACTTTGGGGGGAGGGCGGCGGAAGGAGGCTTTTGTAGTGTAGGAATTGCGTGTATGTTTGCCTCTTATCTCTTTTGCTGTTTAAGTTTTCGCTTTCTATCCGGCATTTCTTTCTCAATTTCCTTTCTTCCCTATGTGGCGTTGCTTCCGCCCAAGTTTTAGCTTTAAGGTAGCCTACTGTATGACAATTTTGCCTTTAACTTGAAAAGGGAAAACTCGACAATAATTTGAACATTTATTGGGCATTCATTGCGCTTCGCCTCTTGCATTGTTTGTCAAATACCAAATGAATGGCAAATATCGATGAAAAGGAAATGAAAAACGATTCGACCCCGAGTGGCCTTCTCCGCTACCTGAGCCACCAATCACCCACTCACCACCCACTTATGGCCAGAAAAGCCACATCCACACACTCCACCCATGTGCCATAACTCGTCCTTAGACTCATAGACGAAGCCAATGTGGGACAATGAAACACAAATGACCTGAATAAAAGCGACGACGCGACACAAGCGATTGACTCTATATGAGTGGCCAGAGTTTTTTAGGTATCGAGTGCGGAGAATACAGCAAAAAACTGTTATTTAGCCGGGCATCCAAATACCCTACAGTTTCTTTAGATATAGAAATATATCTAGTATAGCTGAGAAAAAGATTTCTAAATGCAATAAGTTCTTACGCATGAAAGATACAACATTTACTTACAACTATCCGGTAATGGTAAATTTATAAAATTACTTGCTATAATATTCTATTTACCGCATGTTAATTTGAACACCATTATTAACCAGTTTTTGAATGCCTGTTTTTTTCCGCAACAAACTTGTTGTGTGATGTAATTTGAGAAGAATGCACTTGTGCAAAAAGCTAATAGCCAGATCTTTTTCTGCACCATAAATCTTTTTGTCAAAGGACTTTATCCAAATACCTGAAAAACCAGACAGCCAAGCCAACAAGAGCGAACCAATCAGTCCCTTTTTTTTTTTTTTACCAATTTTAACGAATTTTATTAAGGGCTATCAGTCATTGAACACACAAACGGTTGCTTAATCCCGGGGGTATGCGATTTTTCCTCTACCACAAAGCGGGCGCGGCGTAGTTCAAAGGTGCTGGGGCATAAGCCAGTGGAGCAGCGTATTTGGCCAAAACGGGGGCAGCATAGGGATGGGCGTACGGAGCAGCGAAGGGGGTGGCAATGGGGGCAGCAAATGGAGCCACTCTGTTGAGGATTGGAGCAGTCAAAGGAGCAGCGATTGGAGCGGCTAGAGGAGCGGCCAATGGAGCGGCCAATGGAGCGGCGAAGGCAACGGGAGCTGGAGCACGGAGAGGAGCAGCTAGGGGCGCCGCTAGGGTCCTCAACACAGGAGCTGAAGCAACCGGAACCTGGGCGATCACTGGAGCAGCGGCAATGCCATTGAAGGTCCTGGCCACGACTTGGCTGCTGGCGGCAGTGACCACTGGAGCGGGAGCAGCAATCACCGGAGCGGGAAGAGCTGCCAGAGGAGAGGCAAGCAATCCTGGCTTGGCAGCCACACAGGCGATCAGGGCGCAGATGACAACGGCCTAAAAGTAGTAAAATAAGGTAATAAACTACATATACTTCAGATACTTGGCAACCCAAAACTAACGTATTTGAACATGATGGCTTAATGCGTTTTGGTTTTCTGATTTGAAGCTTAGCTTGGAGTGACTTGAAAGCAAAGAGCTGACTGATGACAATCGAAGGCAGACCGCGGGGTATTTATACCTCTCAGTGTCCCACGCGGCGGCTACTTAATATTCCGAATGCGCCGCAACGGTTGGCCCATTATTAGTGTCTGAAAAATATTAGTTGGTAGTTTGCAAGTTTTAGGTCTTCGAGGGACGGCATAAAACCCGAAGGGCAGTCAATTGCACTCGCTGGCTAATTATACAGAAATGGCTTTTAAATGCAATTCGGATTTCATGGGGAATTTACCATTTACCATTATTGGGTGGATGTGGTCGATGCCAACAAGTGGGTTAATCGCTGGTGATAAACATGTTATTTTACATATTCTACCAACTATTTTCATCACCAAAAGCCCTTCGAGAGTCACAGTGTAGAACCATTGACCGCAGGCACAGGTGGAAATTTATGAGCTTTCCGGGTCAGAAATTAAGCAAAAATAGTGATGGCAATAATTCAAGTCAACATTTCTCACACTTCAACCTAACCCTTGGCTTTTGGCCCAAGGAATTTTCATCGAAAACCTGTTGGCTGCCACAAAAATACATATGTATATAGAGACTAGTTCAGGCTTCCCGGCCAATTAGGCATTTTGAACACGTGCCGGCTTCGGTCAGCAGTAGAAAGCACACATGAACACACTCGAATGATTTGGGGAACTCCTCTGCTGGACGGCGACATTGCAACATTTATTGTTTTGGGCATCCGGGTCAAGGTTGCAGAGCGGTTGTGGTTGACTGACCTTTGCTATTTGCTTAGAATGGGAGGGTCAGCTGGCGTGGAAGGTAAAGAATTCCTTTAATACTTTTATTATTTAAATGTGAGCCACATCCCAGCAATTAGAAAATTACTTATTGGAACACATAAAACATGGAGGAATATCTTATATGATTATAACAAGATTCTTACCAGTTCTCTAAATTTTTGTTTTCCTAAAATCGTGCTAGCCCCTTCATATTTTGTTTAATATAAGATACATTTTCGGTGAGTGCCAATCAGCAAATTGTATCATTATAGTTAATCTTATATGAAACATGTTATTGGGGCGTCCTTAGGAATACTGCAAGTCGAGTATTACTATTAATGTTATATTATTATATACTATAAAGGCTGTCGATCTTTTTATACTATATGTATGATATATGTAATGATATTGCATATATCATTTGACACAGTTATTAAACCGAAGTCACTAGTTTGAGTTATATTCCAACTTTCTGGAGTGAAGATCTAGGTTGTCTTATATAAAGTGACCTTTATCATGCCCCATGCCCCATTCCCAAAACCTCTTGCATAATTTTAGAAAATATTTGGTAAATCCTTGATCTCAATTTACTTTTTAATTTTACTACACTACAATAATTCCACGCTTTTTACAGTTAGCCGGTGGGTTGTGCTCTGTGAATGTTAATTCTTTAGCGAAGCGGCACGTTCTCTTTTGAATCCACCATTAAGTCAAGTGTCGCGACTATCAGATATCTATTATTGTGCTAAAGGAGTGAGGTGGTGTTATACGCACGGAAAGAGAGACTCGACTAGCGATCCTGATCAATAATACATAAACATGAACTCTCGAAAAGAATCCACTCCGCTGTTACTTACCGTTAAGCAATCTAGTACGCCCTTCAACTTTCCTTAAGTTAATGGTTCATTTTGCCGTGCACACCTTAGAACCAAAATTGATTCGTAACTACGTTCTTAACCTTACTAGCAATTTAAATGTCATTACTTCTTGAGCCCTCGATTTCTTTCAATTAACCCTGGAAAGTTCATTAGCCCGACCTCGAGTGTTCAGCGACCTTGACCTAATTTCTGTCGCCAACAACTTCAAAACAAACCATTTTGGCCACATTTTTTAACATCACGCATCCAGCGACGGCTGCCGGTGGCCAATAACTTGTCCACTTGCTACGTGATCTGCATCCGCAAACAAAGCGTTGGAGTTCCAGAGGCCAGTCATTACTGTTGTTTATGAGCACGGCCAGCTGTCAGTGGCTAATTTAATTTAAAGTGTCCCACAGTTCCATATGCCCATTGAAGTAATTTCTATTGACTCATCTTACTTTTCGGATATTTATTGATCAGTCAAAGTTCTTACAAGAGAACTGGAGCGCCAGCCGGAAGCGCCTTATAGGTCAGTGGCGAAGTGTAAGCCAGAGGAGCGGAGTAGGCCAAAGGAGAAGAATAGGCCAATGGAGCTGCTAGCGGGGCAGCCAGAGGAGCAGCAGCGTACTTGGCCAGCACTGGAGCAGCCACGGGAGCAATCACAGGAGCGGCGGCGATTCCATTGAAGTTCCTGGCGATCACCTGGCTGCTGGTGGCGGTCACAACTGGAGTGGGAGCAGCTACCACGGCAGCAGGAGCAGAGTAGGCCAGGGGAGCAGAGTAAGCCAGGGGAGCAGAGTAAGCCAGGGGAGCACCCAGGAGTCCAGGCTTGGCAGCAGCACAGGCAACGAGTGCGAGGACGACGACGGCCTGTGAATAAATCAGCTTGATTAGTTTAATCCTTTGAGGGTCCGTCCTGAAGAACATACGTATTTGAACATGGTGGTATGTGAGTTTGTGTTTTTGTGTTTTGCTTCTTCGGAAGGCTAGAAACTGTTTGATATCCCACTGCTCTTCGTGGAGCATATTTATACCCGAATGTGTGCTCAGCTCTGACTCATGATCGCACGCATTCGGTTCATTTAAATGCTGTGACAGTCTCCCGTTACCATTTACCATCTACCATCTACCATTTACCATTTACCATTTACCATTTGCACTTTGCCGTAGTTTATGTGATTTCCCACTGCTGAGTGCAGAATGTGGAATAACTCTTGGTGGCCACTGAATGCGATGGCCTGAGGTCACAGACGCGGTCCCAATTGGGCGTATAAATAGTGGTATGGAATGTGTTGAACGGCAGACAAGTTCAAGTTTTCGAACCGAAAGCACCAGATCAATAATCAAAATGTTCAAATCCGTAAGTTTGGAAACCTAACTTGCTGCCTTGCTTACTAATTGTATTTAATTGTATTTGATTCACAGGCTGTTGTGTTCCTGGCCATCGTTGCCTGCGCTGCTGCCAAGCCTGGACTCCTGGGTGCGCCTTTGGCCTACTCTGCTCCCCTGGCTTACACTGCTCCTGCTCCAGTTGTGACCGCAACCAGTAGCCAGGTTATCGCCAGGAACTACAATGGCATCGCCGCTGCTCCGGTGATTGCTCCCGTGGTGGCCAAATACGCGGCTGCTCCTCTGGCTGCTCCTGTGGCTGCTCCTCTGACTGCTCCTCTGGCTGCTCCTCTGGCTGCTCCTCTGGCTGCTCCCTTGGCCTACTCCTCGCCGTTGGCCTACTCCGCACCACTGAGCTACGCCGCTGCTCCTGCACCACTTCTCATCTAAGTTACTAAACTGTGATCATCTAAAACGATAAATATAGTAAAAATGAACGCTTAAATCGATATTCAATCTTTTCCTACGCTTAGATTTTTTTCATTTTATTGATTTTTAATTTATTGACTGAGTAACGGGTATCTGAGAGTCGAGACACTAGATTGTATTATTTTATAAGCATTCTGTTTTAATAAAACATTAGTCGAAAAGCCAAGCGGTATATTAGATTCGTTAAAAAGTATGTAAAAAGTTGATAATTATTAAATAAATTCATGTTCCAGATCTTCCATCTAAGATCTGGGGAACTAAAAAAGATTGGACGCTGCACAGCTTTGTTTCAAAGATACACACCTCCAAAACTGTAGCGAACACTTTTGTGAAGTGTTTTAGCTTCCCCGTGCTCGTAAACTAAAACGATATTCTAGATTCGTTGAAAAGTATGTAACACGGAAAAGGAACATTTTCCGACCCCGTAAAGAATATATATCCTTAATCGAAATCACCAGCCGTGTCGATATATCCGTGTCCTGTCCGAATGCCTTTACGAATGTCTATCCGGCTGTGCCTATGAATACTGTGATCTCAAAAACTATAGAAGTTAAAACGTTAAGATTAAGTACGGAGATTCTAAAGACGTGGACGGAGCCCAAAGATTTCAGCCAAGTAGCTTCGCTAGTTGCATATCTTCTTCTTCCTTCCACTTCCGCAACTGAGAAAGAAGTATCTGATAGCATAGGAACTTGACTACAGCGTTCACCAAGTACGCTATTGCGTAAAATTAATTCGTTGCGTATTTAATAAGGAATATGATATTGAATAATATTTAGATTTTTCTCAATTTATTATCGTTGTCCTAGGTGATCACAGTTTAGTAACTTAGATGAGAAGTGGTGCAGGAGCAGCGGCGTAGCTCAGTGGTGCGGAGTAGGCCAACGGCGAGGAGTAGGCCAAGGGAGCAGCCAGAGGAGCAGCCAGAGGAGCAGCCAGAGGAGCAGCCAGAGGAGCAGCCAGAGGAGCAGCCAGAGGAGCAGCCAGAGGAGCAGCCAGAGGAGCAGCCGCGTACTTGGCCACCACGGGAGCAATCACCGGAGCAGCGGCGATGCCATTGTAGTTCCTGGCGATAACCTGGCTACTGGTTGCGGTCACAACTGGAGCAGGAGCAGTGTAAGCCAGGGGAGCAGAGTAAGCCAGGGGAGCAGTGTAGGCCAAAGGCGCACCCAGGAGTCCAGGCTTTGCAGCAGCGCAGGCAACGATGGCCAGGAATACAACAGCCTGTGAATCAAATACAATTAGATACAATTAGTAAGCAAGGCAGCAAGTTAGGTTTCCAAACTTACGGATTTGAACATTTTGATTATTGATCTGGTGCTTTCGGTTCGAAAACTTGAACTTGTCTGCCGTTCAACACATTCCATACCACTATTTATACGCCCAATTGGGACCGCGTCTGTGACCTCAGGCCATCGCATTCAGTGGCCACCAAGAGTTATTCCACATTCTGCACTCAGCAGTGGGAAATCACATAAACTACGGCAAAGTGCAAATGGTAAATGGTAAATGGTAGATGGTAGATGGTAAATGGTAACGGGAGACTGTCACAGCATTTAAATGAACCGAATGCGTGCGATCATGAGTCAGAGCTGAGCACACATTCGGGTATAAATATGCTCCACGAAGAGCAGTGGGATATCAAACAGTTTCTAGCCTTCCGAAGAAGCAAAACACAAAAACACAAACTCACATACCACCATGTTCAAATACGTATGTTCTTCAGGACGGACCCTCAAAGGATTAAACTAATCAAGCTGATTTATTCACAGGCCGTCGTCGTCCTCGCACTCGTTGCCTGTGCTGCTGCCAAGCCTGGACTCCTGGGTGCTCCCCTGGCTTACTCTGCTCCCCTGGCTTACTCTGCTCCCCTGGCCTACTCTGCTCCTGCTGCCGTGGTAGCTGCTCCCACTCCAGTTGTGACCGCCACCAGCAGCCAGGTGATCGCCAGGAACTTCAATGGAATCGCCGCCGCTCCTGTGATTGCTCCCGTGGCTGCTCCAGTGGTGGCCAAGTACGCTGCTGCTCCTCTGGCAGCTCCTTTGGCCTACTCTTCACCCTTAGCTTACACCTCGCCCTTAGCGTACAGTGCGTTTCCATCAGCTCCTGTTCTCCTTTAGAAAACTTTAAAAGTAATAAAAAAAATTAAACGAACTCCAATTCCTACCATTTTGTTGGGCTCCGCTAATTGGATTTACCACTGGCATACTAAGACCGCCAAAATCCACAACCTGCTGATAGGACTTTTGAAAGTTTCGAATGCTGGTCACGTAACGGTCATAAAAATTATTGTCAGCTCAACGGCAGTTGCTACCGTCCAGTGTTTGTTCCATTAAATTGTGCGAAATTGATTTGTAATATAGGTTTATTTTATTTTTTGGCTTTGAGCACAGACCTTGGCAAATATGTCAAGGTCAAAGCTGACCTTTGACTGACAGGAGCCACTCATTTGGCACTTGTAGGAAGTGACTATCACCCTGTCTCAGAACTAATAGCCCTAATGGCGTTGACAGTCTTGTTATAAAAAGGGCCTGCGCTTTAATTTCACTTGTAAGGATATGCAGTACATAAAATTAAATCCATTTTAATACTGTATTATATGTCAAGGAAAAGTATCTAAAAGGTAGAAGGAATTGTTTCCGACTAGACGAGTTCATTTGGCCATTTCCGTCTTTTTAGGCACATTAGCATTAATATTGGACTTGGGACTTGGGCTAGACAGTTAAAATTAACCATGTATATTCTAGAGAAGGAGATGCAGAGCCAGTTTTATTGAAGATTTACACGTTTACTTCAACGCCAACAAACCGCCTAAGTTGTCAAACAAACAATTTCGATAAATGCTTCAATTTTTTGAATATAAATAGTTTTCTTGTTTCCAATTTCAATACACCAATAACAATTTCTTAAATCTCTTTCTAGCACGAGGAACTTGACTATAGCGTTCTTTCTTGTTCTTACACTCTTGAAAAAGATATATTGATTTAAGTCAGAAGCTCGCACGCAGATAGAATAGTCGAGTTCCCCGACTATCAGATACCCGTTACTCAGCTTGTGGAAGTGCAAAAGAGAAATTTCAACATTTTCTGGAATATCGGTAGAAATTGGGAAAAAAGTAATTAAATTAAAAAAAAAACATAAAAAGTTTTGTGCGGTTTGTGGGCGTGGCGACATTTGGAAACAAACTTGCGCTGCGCCTATGTCTCTGGAAGCTGCATGCTTAATTTCTAATTCTAATTACAAAAAAAATAAATTCAAAAAATTGTCTAAATTTTAATGCAAATTTTTTAAGAGTATGGCGCCAGTGACATTTAGAGATATACCACTCCAAAATCCGATTAAGCTAAGTTGAGTTATGAGTTTAGAACTTCAGGCTTGGGACATTTTTTAATTTTTTTGAATTTCTACATCAAAAAAATTTAAAAAAAAAAAAGAATTTCCAAATTTAAATGCAGACTTTTAGAGAATTGCGCCAGAAATATTTAAAGGTATGCCACTTCAAAATCCGATTAAGATAAGTTGGGTTATGGAGTTTCGAACTTCAGCCTTGGGACATTTCTTAATTTTTTTTAATTTCTACATCATAACATCAAAAAAATTAAAAAAAAGATGAATTTCTAAATTTAAATGCAGATTCTTCGAGAATTGCGCCAGTTACATTTAGAGGTATGCCACTTCAAATTCCGAATAAGATAAGTTGAGTTATGGAGTTTCGAACTTCAGTCTTGGGACATTTCTTAATTTTTAGCTAGTGGGAGTGCGTGGCGCTTTTGATGGTTTGCCCGTTTCAATGATCCTGGATATATCAAGAAACAAACACTACCTACGTAGTATCACTGTAATTTGTCTACTGAAATCCTGATCAAGAATATATACCTTATAGGGCCTAAAACGCTTCCTTCTATTTGTTACCTACTTTTCAACGAATCAAATATTTCCTTTTACTGTACGTGTAACGGTTATAAAAAAGTCTTATTGATTACCAAGGAAATTCCATTGCGCTTAAGACCAAGAATGATTTAGTCTTTATAAAATGAGCTGTTAGACCCTCTGTGTTCACAAGAAGTTAGAATTTTGCGAAGGTTTTGGTTTTAATCATTAATCAACAAAACTTTCAATTAATGCAACAAATCGGTTTAAGCGACAATTGGACATTACTACTTTATTTTCTTAGATAAGCTAAATTTTAGGAACTGAAAATGTAAACTTCACTTCTTTTCCTTATACTAGAACAGGTGCAGCGATTCCATTGAAGTTCCTGGCGATCACCTGGCTGCTGGTGGCGGTCACAACTGGAGCGGGAGCAGCTACCACGGCAGCAGGAGCAGAGTAAGCCAGGGGAGCAGAGTAAAAAGCTTTGTTTCAAAAGATACACACCTCCAAAACTGTAGCGAACACTTTTGTAAAGTGTTTTAGCTTGTATCCCCGTGCTCGTAAACTAAAACGATATTCTAGATTCGTTGAAAAGTATGTAACACGGAAAAGGAACATTTTCCGACCCCGTAAAGAATATATATCCTTAATAGAAATCACCAACCGTGTCCTGTCCGACTGCCTTTAGGAATGTCGGTCCGGCTGTTCCTATGAATACTGTGATCTTCAAAACTATAAAAGTTAAAACGTTGATTTTAAGCACGGAGATTCTAAAGACGTAGATGGAGCCCCAAAGATTTCAGCCAAGTAGCTTCGCTAGGTGCATATCTTCTTCTTCTTCCACTTCCGCAACTGAGAAAGAAGTATCTGATAGCATAGGAACTTGACTACAGCGTTCACCAAGTACGCTATTGCGTAAAATTAATTCGTTGCGTATTTAATAAAGAATATGATATTGAATAATATCTAGATTTTTCTCAATTTATTATCGTTGTCCTAGGTGATCACAGTTTAGTAACTTAGATGAGAAGTGGTGCAGGAGCAGCGGCGTAGCTCAGTCGTGCGGAGTAGGCCAACGGCGAGGAGTAAGCCAAGGGAGCAGCCAGAGGAGCAGCCAGAGGAGCAGCCGCGTATTTGGCCACCACGGGAGCAATCACCGGAGCAGCAGCGATGCCATTGTAGTTCCTGGCGATAACCTGGCTACTGGTTGCGGTCACAACTGGAGCAGGAGCAGTGTAAGCCAGGGGAGCAGAGTAGGCCAAAGGCGCACCCAGGAGTCCAGGCTTGGCAGCAGCGCAGGCAACGATGGCCAGGAACACAACAGCCTGTGAATCAAATACAATTAAATACAATTAGTAAGCAAGGCAGCAAGTTAGGTTTCCAAACTTACGGATTTGAACATTTTGATTATTGATCTGGTGCTTTCGGTTCGAAAACTTGAACTTGTCTGCCGTTCAACACATTCCATACCACTATTTATACGCCCAATTGGGACCGCGTCTGTGACCTCAGGCCATCGCATTCAGTGGCCACCAAGAGTTATTCCACATTCTGCACTCAGCAGTGGGAAATCACATAAACTACGGCAAAGTGCAAATGGTAAATGGTAGATGGTAGATGGTAAATGGTAACGGGAGACTGTCACAGCATTTAAATGAACCGAATGCGTGCGATCATGAGTCAGAGCTGAGCACACATTCGGGTATAAATATGCTCCACGAAGAGCAGTGGGATATCAAACAGTTTCTAGCCTTCCGAAGAAGCAAAACACAAAAACACAAACTCACATACCACCATGTTCAAATACGTATGTTCTTCAGGACGCACCCTCAAAGGATTAAACTAATCAAGCTGATTTATTCACAGGCCGTCGTCGTCCTCGCACTCGTTGCCTGTGCTGCTGCCAAGCCTGGACTCCTGGGTGCTCCCCTGGCTTACTCTGCTCCCCTGGCTTACTCTGCTCCCCTGGCTTACACTGCTCCTGCTGCCGTGGTAGCTGCTCCCGCTCCAGTTGTGACCGCCACCAGCAGCCAGGTGATCGCCAGGAACTTCAATGGAATCGCCGCCGCTCCTGTGATTGCTCCCGTGGCTGCGCCAGTGCTGGCCAAGTACGCTGCTGCTCCTCTGGCTGCTCCTCTGGCTGCTCCTCTGGCTGCTCCTCTGGCTGCTCCCTTGACCGCTCCCTTGGCCTACTCCTCGCCTTTGGCTTATACAGCACCACTGAGCTACGGCGCTGTTCCTGCACCGCTCCTCATCTAAGTTATCAACCTGTAACCACCTAGGACGAAATAAAAATACAGATTTAGTAAACACTTTTTTAAATTAGATATAATCAGTAAATTCAGTATAAATACAATAGGATACTGCCAGCGGTGATTACGCTGGGGGTTTTCTCTTGTTTAAGTGTTTCATGCCCGTCAAAATAGCCAAGCGACTACTGATTTTAAATTTAATTTAATTCGACTCTCGTTCAAATTATAACTTAGATGTTATGACAAATAATTTTTTTCCGAGTGCTTCGATTTTATACAGATTATTTTGGTAGAGCCAAATTTATTTAAAACGCATATACCAAGAGCTAATCGTCTATAAGCACATACATTTTCTGTCAATTTTTCTGCGTGATCCAACCATTTATTCCTGGGCACATGGTTTTTGTTAGTTTCGGCTCTCCGCTTATCTAAAACGCTTTCATGGCGCATTTCATGCATAGATGCACAATTTAAATAGCCATTTTTGTGTTCGCGCGTTCAGATAGTAGATGGCAGTTCCTTGCCAGCTGCCAGAAGCCAAAAGAAGTGCCTGAAAAATCCCGGCATATACTCGTATGTTATCGCCTGCCACGGGCTGGAAATCCGCACATCCTCAAGGATTTGCGCGTTGGCGCTTCTTTTCCTTTCTTCCTCTTCATGGCCTGGCTTTAATTTGGTTAGTTGCAACTCGTGATTACCAAACAGAAAAAGCAATAATTTCGATGGGCAACAAACTCGCGTATAATGAGGTTTACCTATCAGGTCACCAAGTCACGCTACAACCAAAAAATCTGCAACTGCCACCAACAAAAGCAGCTGGAAAAAGTGTTAGAAAAAAGTGTAAACGCGACTTTTGCGTTCTCTCGTCTAAATAATTAAAAGTTCGCCCTTGCCCAACGTCCACGCCCCTTTTTTTGTCGGCTGCGTTTTGTTTGCCATTTTGTAATTGCTGTTAATGGCAAAAACAAGGAAAATGGTACACAACCTCGACTGTGGAAATCCGGGAGTGAAAAATCTCCCAACTTTACACGAAATTTGCATTAAAAAACCGTGCCTGTGAAAGGCTTACAAGTATGTTTTTCTTTCCCTGACCGAATGCCTGCATACCCTCAATACCCATTTCTATGCTGAGAGCAATTTACATACCCTTAAAATGAATTATTCGCCATTAGTTTCGAAAATATTCGAAAATAATACTTGGGCAAATGATAAATACTATGAAATTAAATAGTTGGTAATGTGTATAAAAACTTGTTTGATAAAAAATTATATACTCGCACAATAGTGAAACAAATAATTATATTAGTTGTTAGTTCAATAAGTATACACAACACTCAGTTCTGATAAATTTAGTCTGACAATCCAGGAACAAATTTCAATTGCACCTCATAGTTTTGTTGATAGAAAAAAGTAGTTGGAAGGTGTATTTAAGGCAATTTTTGCGAGTGCACCAGTGCTAGTTAAAAAATAAAAATTAAACGACACGTAACATAAACTAATAGCCCTTAATATGAGTGCCAATAGCCAATTTAATAGAGAACAGTTTTTAGCGGAATACCTTTCGATAGAGTATTTGAAAAGTAAGTTAGGACGCAGTTACTACATTCGGATAGTTACCAAACTTTATGAGTTCTTCATGCCCGTTTCGGCTGCCTTCTGCTGTTTGTTTGCCAGTCGGTATATGTTTTCTGCTGGCTGGTAATTTTGTTTGCCGACAAGGCGCAAAATGGTTGAATAATGGCCAGCGACATTTCGCTTAATGTTTGACTTGGCTGCAACATGAAATGTGATGCAGGATGCGACTAAACGGAACTCCAGCACTCGTACAAGAGCCAACAAATGTCTGCTAAGATTATTTCCTTGTTTGCGCCTTAATTTGATTATGAAAAAGGATTACTCGGGTGAACGAAGAGGGATGTGTTTAATTATTTCCATTATCCATTCGAACTTAGAATAAATCGGGTACAATATTTATAATTAAATTATTGTGAGTATAGATACAACTGGAATATATGTTTCCAATAAAACGAAATAAGATTTGAAACTAGTTATTAATAGGAACTCTCCGATTTGTCACGGTTCCTGCTACATAGAAAATAACTAGGGGTGTGCCCAAATTGAATACTCGCTGGCCAAACTTCGGAACTTGGCTAATGATCCAGAACCCAAGCCTATCTTTGGCCTAATGCTCCGAAAATGGGGGAATCGCGCCCCATTGTGTGCCTATCTATATGGCTAATTATGCTAAACAAATTATAGAATATGATTAATCGAGAGCACGGCCTGGCAATTAACTTTTTGCGATAAATAAACCGGAATATATACGTAAAACTGAATTAATGCTCGCTGGAATCGCGGGCAGATTTATTGGTCCCGCCCACATTCGGAGCCCCAAGGGCTCGTTTTGAAGAACGGATTTGTCCTGCGATTTAACAATTCACGTAGTGACATTTGCATTTTTGATTGCCTCAATATTTCTTGCACTGCTTTGTTTTTGCTTATGGCCATCGCACCGTTGTAGGTGTTCCAGCCCCAAAAAATGTGGGCAAAAAAGTTTAAGGCCAAGAAACGTGTCGTGTAAATTAAACAGGTGGGGAGTGGGGAGCGGGGAGTTTTTCGGCTTAAAAAATGATACTCCAAGGGTCAGCCAGACTTTAAAATGTTGTGCAAGTCATTTATATGCAGATATCTTTTTTTGCTGGGCGTGACAATGTCTAATTATGCCGTATTGTGGGCGGCTCTCTGTTTTTTACTCGGGAGTCAACGCCATTTACTTAATTCGCCCGCGGTTCATTCACGCCAGTGGGGAAAATATTTCAATCTGCGGGCTCCTTTTCTCAACGCGGATTAAAGGCTAAGCAAAAGTTCGAGGACCCAGCACAAAGAGCCGATGTATTATATTTCCACCCAATTGTTTATGAGGCCTTCTTCTTTGGCGTGGGAAGGGAATATGGGGACATTATTTTTTCGGTGGGCAGATTCGTGCCAAAGTGGCGGGAAGCATAAAACCAGAGAAAAGGAAACGACGAACCCCTAGTGGCGGGGAAAACTTCTGCACGCACTCCTCCAAGGGATTCAGGATTCAGGACTCAGGACCCGAGGAGTGACGCGTTTGGCGCTGCACCAGCACTTAACCTTGGCTGAACACCGAGGACACGGCACTCGAGGTATGAATTAAATCCTGCCACGAGTGCTGTCCGCAAATATACCTAACACATACATGGGGCTCGTTTCTCTGAGGAAACTTTAACCCAAAAGCCTGGCAGGACGATGATGGCTCTCTTCTCAGGCACAGGAAGCTTTGTCCTCTGGCTTCCATTCAGCACTTCTCTTTGGCGGGAGCTTTCGGAGTAAAGAGATGTAATATTAAGAGAGTGCAGGAAAAGAGGTCGGCAAACATGTTTGTTGGGATATCTCCGAAGGGCAAGTGTTGCAAGTTGCTGCACCTTTCAAAACAGAAATAATAACAAATGACAAGATTTCGGAATTACATTCGGAGTTATTATTATTATTACTTTTACGATGTTTTATATTTTGATATTTTGATATATATTATATGATATATTATGATATATTTAAACGATATTGTTTCTAACATGAAATCTACATTATTTTTGGTCTTTTATAGTCCAATCGGTGACTATGGTGGTTCAGTTTCATCAGCACATTCTTTTCATGGTCTCTGGCTAGGCTGAACAGCATATCTTCTTTATCTCTCCGATTTCTTCATTTTCTTCAGATTCTCGTCAGGCCTTACTGTTTTTGGAGGGAACTCATTGGAATTTTAGAGGCATTTTCAAAGTTTTTGCCAGGTAAACTTATGGATATCGCCTTCAGGGAAGCCATCCTGCTTGCAGATAGTTGCATGTGCGCTTTTCCGAGGATTGTTGACCACTTCATCGGTTATCACAATATGAACCAAATATTGACGTGACTTTTTGTGAGAAACCTAGTCTTACAGAAAGTTAGAACTCACAAGGTGCTGCCACCTTAAGAAATTTGTATACAATATATCATGTCTGATATAAAAAGTTGTGTATTATAATTTAATTTAATTTAAACGATTTCGTTCTGTTTATTTTACAATGTTCCAAATGTACATATACCCCATGACAGCCAGCTTTCGTAAGCCAGCAACACTAATGCATACTTTTGGGCGCTGATTGTGAGCCCTACAAAAAGCGATCAAAAATTAAAAACTTTTCGGGTAACTAACTGGTGCACTAACACGCACACACATCGCAGGGGAAAATGCACACGGCTTTTGATTTGGCCACTCTTTCTTCTACCGTTTGTCTTCGGCTAACACACACACACATACCCTCGCCGAGGAAAATGGAGAAACAGTCAGGTAGTTAAAACTTTTAAATTGAGGGCGGGGATCATTTGTGATTTCTGCCGTCTGGGCACTGCAAATAAAAGGGAAGGAGCCTGAATGTGGAAATCCTGGAAAGTTACAGTCACGGCAGAAGCGCTCTGTCACTGCTCATTTGTTGCTAATAATTATAAAAGTTTTCCCCAATCCCCCAATCCCCCAATCCCCCGAGTGACGTAAGTACCACAGAAAATATATAGAAAAACACTTGCCAGACTATCTGTCTGTGGGCTGCTGCTGATAGAAAAAGGACCCGAAACTTTTGACAATTGTTTAGTTTAGAGGATGTGCTCGACAATGTTTGCCGAGTCCTTTTTAGAGTTAGCATTTAGCTCAGATTTCGCAGCGAATAGCGAATAGTTTTGGAGTCGCGGCTCGGCCTAAAAGCTTGCAGTATTAAATTTTTATTTGCTTACTTCATAACAATAGTGAGGGCTGTGCCACTCCCCCTTTTATAAGTCATTTGGTTCGGGCACTTGGAGCGCAGCCAGAATCCTCGGATAGCAAACAGGCCGAACAAAGCAAGCGCCAAATTGCCCTAAAAGCCTTTTCAAGTCAAAAGTTTTGCCTGTTTGCGCATAATTATTTAGCCGTGACATAAACAAAAAATCACAAAACTGCATGGATGGGGTGGAATCCTGCAAAAGTATCTTAAGTAGTATTTAACTATTAGGGACTTGGGCAGGGATTTGGTTTCAACTGCGCAGAAATCTGCTCCATTGTAAGAGTTGTAAGTTTTAGCTACTTAGATCTCATATCCTTGAAGAGGATACTACTATGACTACTATATTGTCTTAATCCCTTAGGTAAGTAAGTGGTCGGCTCCCTGACCCATTTTATTAAAATCCCTTGCATTGCACAACCATTAGTCCCTGCTCTCCGGAACCTGCTCTTCATCCTGGTCTAGGCTGGGCAGGTTTCCATCCTCGTCGCCGAACATGAGCCTCTCAATGAGCTCCATTTGGGTGTGGAGAATGGCGGCCAGAGCGAAGGTTCGCTCGATCCGCTCCCGATATTTCATCTGGTCCAGTTCCTTGTTTACCGGCTTAACATAGACGTTCTCGGCATAAATTGGCCGTATCTTTGTCTTCCGTCGCATGAGGTCGATGTCATCCAGTTTTCGTTGGATATTCTGTGAAACTGTGCGATTCTTTCGCTGGTAACCCCTTTGGCAGTGGAACACTTTTAGGATGCAGTTGATGACGTCGGCATATTCAACGCGTAGGAATTGCCAGAACGTTATGCGCTGCATCACTTTCTTATCCCTATCCGCCTTGACAGTGGCCATCTGATCCCTCATCATGGAAACAATCAAGTTGATCAGCATGTACTTGACCACAAAGCCCATTATGACGTACAATAGGATGCCCAGCCACTCTCCGCCATAAAAGATATCCGGCGGGTAGACCAAGTTCGTATAGCCAAAGGAAAAGCAGGTGACCGTGACAATGCCCTTGGGGAAATCCCTGAAGTTACTGGTGTAGTTGCCATTGATGGTGACCGTGGCAATGCCAATGGCGATGATGAATATTACGGTTATTACGAAGGTGCAGAGCAGCGCGTCCCACGCCAAAGAGATGGTCTTGGAAAACAGTTGGAAGGTGGCGGAAAACTGCATCACCTTCCACAAACGCAGAGTGACCAGGGCCACCGTCAAGCCCGTGACCACATCCTCAATGTAGGAGAGTTGCTCCGGCAGCCGAAAGTCCAGAAAGTCCACCACAACGGCGATCTCAACTTTCTTGATCATATTCTGAACCAAGTTATCTCGCACCGCCATGACCATCCCCACCATGAGGCTGAGTGCCACGATCAACGCATCCACCAGGACCCACAGGGTCTTCAGCTGTCGAGGATCGTACCAGACCTTCACGAAGAACGCCTTGGTGAACTCCAACCACGTGACGGCGAAGACAAACACCATTAACATGCCGAACTTCGAGAACTCCCGCAGTTGCTCCACAAACGTGTGACTCTCGACCCTCATGTGGCCATCAGGATACTGGTAGGGAAACTTCTCCACCCACAAGGTGCACACGGTAAAGGTGTTGGCATCCGCGTTGTACAAGCTGAAGTCCATGAACAAAGCCGTCGTATTCGCATCCAGCCAGTGCTTCTCCATCAGGTACTCAATGATCTTAAGACTTTTATAGCGGGTGTCCGAGAGCAGGACCGTGTAGCCCTTCGATTCCGGATAGTTGAACGTATGCCCCACGTGGCTGATGCCCAGAATTAAGTTGTCCCGAATCCCAGAGACAGTCGGCAGCCAGGGCGTGTAGATGGGCCAGTACTTGTCCGTATAGGGAACCCTTTCGTAGGGCACAGTCCAGCTCTCAGCGAACTCCCGCTCGGTGAACACGGGAAGCGATAGACCCAGTCGGTTGCTCTCCGTCCTCAGCTGCCTCAGCCTCACCACGCCCAGTAGCCTGGTGCCCTCCGCATGGACCCAAGGAGCTCCGCCACTGGTGTTTTTGCCATCCGTAAAGGCCAGCACCAAGGAGGACACCACAAACAAATAGATGTCCGGCACATTCATCACACTCTGCAGTCCGAGCGCATCCCCATTATTATTCTGGAAGAGGATGTGCGTGGCCTCTGTGTTGTAGTACAGTAGCTCATCAAAGAAAGCCAAGGCCATGAAGAAGTAGACGAGGAACAGCTTGCCGTTGAGCCAGAGTTCCTGGGTAATCAGGCGGTACTTCAGGTTGACCCTCTCGTTCCGATGCCGCTCCGTGATCATCAGTTCACTCCGCAGCGTTCGGAGGTGCAGCCTCAGCTGGTCCATAAACGTGTCCACCTTGGCATCCTGGTCCAGAGTCTCGGGGGCTTGTTGAGCCGGCCAGAAGGCGGCGTCCAGGGACATAATTGTGAACTTGATGGGCGTTAGGATCACGATCTGCAGTAAAGTAACTGCCAGGAACGCCACCAGAATCATGTTGAATTTGCCATCCTCGTGGCGGAAGCCCGAGAACATCCAGATGCAGGCCCCACAGATGGCTATGATTATCAGGGTCAGGTAGAAGATTATGTTGCTAAACTTCTTGGCCATTGCTCTGTTTCGAGTTTCACCTAAGCCTCTATAAGCTTCTATACAAATCATATGAGTAATAACTCCTTGACAGTCTAAGATGGGGTTCTTTGGGCTGCTTTAGTTTTGCAGTTCCCATTTTAAGTGTACAAACCAACTTGTAACCGAACTTCAGATTCCGAAAGCACTAATCGTTTGGTTACTTTGACTTTATAGGAAAGATAGATATATAAGAAAATAGTATAGTCTTTGCACGTTCTGGAGTCTACAATCCTTATATACACATGAGCACGGTTGTGTTTAAGATAAGTCTGCCTTCTAAATCAAGTTTTGCTCTAGAACGTGAAGCCTCCACAAATTGATTCGGAATAGTATGGCTAAGAAGCTCTAACTCGCTTTAATTTCACTTGCCTGCTGGCAGTTAGTTAACCTTGCATTTCTGTACGAGTCCCGTACAAATTATTGTGCTATCAGTGGCACTTCAATGGGCTCCCAGCAGTTGCCACTTAGGGCAGCCGACAAGTGCAGCAGAGGCACCACCACTTACCGCCTACGAAGATATGACCCCTAGCCCCAGGAAGCCACTGGGCTCTCAGAGCTGGGGCTGGCAATAAAATTCCTAAACCTTTTTTGACAAATGAAACGTGCAACAAACAAGACGCCCAAGCGGATGCAGGCGGAAAAGTACGTAAGACGGGGCTGGAGGCCACCCAGCCAGCTTGCAGCATCCACGATACAGGTCCTGGGCCCCAGGACACAGGACACAGGACGCAGGATGCAGACGCAGGAGCGAGAATCTGCGAATGAGCCGAGCTCCAGTGCCAACAAAGATTTATGCATTTTACAGGGCAGACTACACTTTATGCGAAACTAAACGGCAAACAGTTTGAGTGAGGAAAGCTTTCACTCTCCTTGCAGAGGAAGAAAATTGTAAAAATTACTCATCTAAGGATTTGAACTGAATTATGAAATGTTTCTATGAAAAGAAACGTTTTTATTGGCATTCTCTCCATTGGGCACTTGGTATTATATCAAATGTGTACTGATTACTGAGTAGGTTACTAAATAAATTAGAATTTCATGAATACTTTCAGTACTGCGAGTCGAAGGAAAATATTCTCTGTGCACCATCTGTGCATTCCTTGGGGAAGCGGAAATGAAGCATCACATGCCCCGTGCCCTCTTCGGATCCGGGGCTTCAGGGGAGGAAGTCCATTGTGCCTTTTAATAGACTGAACTACACGGCATCCGACTCTGAGCGCCGGCATCCTGCCACTTTGTTTGCCGGCAAACATTTGTGCAGCTTATTAATATGCATGCCACCCGACTCTGCTCCCCCGGCTCCCCCGACTGTCCCGGCTCCTCACCGGGATTAAGCGGAGGATCAGGTGTGCCACCTCCATGTCGCAGCCCCCCGCCAATCGGAGCATTTTATCTCCTAGGCCAAGCACAAAAGTTTTAGCTGTTCTCGGTCCGTATCGAAAAGTCGTTAGTAAGCTGACCGCAGAAAGATGCGAGGCAGAAGTGCAGCGGCTCAGAGGAAACTTAGGGCCCAACTGGCCACTCCTATTTCTTGTGTCTCAGTGGCAGTCGGGCAAAAAATGGCCAACTTCCCAGGACTTGCACTTAGCCCGCACAAAACTTTGCTCGCCATTCCAAACTTTTTTGGCTGAGCCAGAGATGAAACTGAAGCTGAAACTGAGTCTTCAGTGCGCTGTAAGTAGATTTGTGGACCCTGGCATATGTCTCGTTCCCGTGGCTTCTGGAGTGGGGGATCTACTCACACCAGCACTGCATAATAGGGTTAATGGTTATGCTGAACACCTCCTATCTAAATGCATAGGCTTTGGACTCTTTCTGGTAACCATTAAGTTATCCTTAATTAACTATTTCGATTTTCAATAGTCAAATTATGTGACTTCTCTTAGCTGGGAACACATGGTAGATTGCCCTTTGAATAGTCAACCCCTTTGCACTTGCAGTCATCTTTCTAATGACGGGCGCCCAGCCAAAATCGGTGCCCACATGGTGTATGCTCCCCTTCGCCCCGCTCACCATTAATCATCGAAGTGTAGCACGCTTAGCACATGCACTTATAGATTTGTCAAGCGCCCACCCACCACTTCCCCCTTTCGGAAAATCAAATTAAGGCAAACCAAGAGAGGCGCCGTATCGAGTGTCGCGACTATTAGATACCCGTTACTCAGGTAGAGAAGCGCTATGTAGATGGAGATATGATTGAAGTGGAATGCTTTTACATTCGAATGTCTTAGTAGTGCTATTTTAAAGGCACTTCATTTGGCAGGAAGACGGACAGCCGGACATGGCCAGATATAGACGGCTAGAGGTCCTGACCAAGAATATACGTACGTTATAGAGGCGGAAACGCATCCTCCTACCTGTTACATACCTTCAAAGAACCTAGCATACCCTTTTACTCGTACGGAGTAACCGGTATAATTAAAGGAGCAACAAACACACGAGCTGAATGCAATTGGGAATGCCCGACTTGCTACATGGGGATTCGTTTATTTTTTGGCAAACACACAACATATGCGTCCCGTTGACAAATAAAGTTTACAGATATGCACACACCAACACACGCGCAGCAGGAAAACTGACACACACACAGGCGGCGCAGGGGAAAGGCGGGAAAACTGCAAGAGCGATGGCAACGCACACGAGTAAACAATGGCGAACTGGCGAGCGCGCAGATGGTTAGGGCCGGGCCAGAATGAGATGGGCGAGGTGGAAAACACTCCCCAATGAAATAGTTTATGGTAAACCGCAATGCGAAAAATGTCACCTCCCGGCAAAAATGAGCGGGCAGCGGGGAAATGTGGAGCTGTGGAGATGGCAGCAGGAACTGAAACAGAAATGGAACCCAAGATGAAGTGGCGCGGCGCATCCAACTGGCTAAACAAGTGCGGAAGTTGTTTGCGTTCGCCGCTGGCAAAGGCCAAGCGGAAGCGGCCTATTGGGCAATGGCAGTGACGGCGTTCGACTGTCGCCACAAGGCGGAAATGAGCCAACTTGGCTGCCACATGGGGCGGAAAAGACGCCGGCTGACAATATCCGAGCGCAAACGTCGTACGGCAAGTTGGAACCCCATCTGAGGAACTTTAAGAACTTAACATAGTTGGAGAACTCCCAAGCACTTCACTTCAATTTTGGCCTAATCAAAACTAATCAAATTGTCAATATTGTACGAATGAGATATCTATATTTGCATCTGCATTATCTTACTAAACCATTTTTATTGGTGTCGTAACCGTAAGCTGACATCACATTCTAAACAAATAATCATTAACACTAGCTGTAAATTCTATTTAATGCAAAAATTTAAAACGAAAAAGCTTAATTTCCATTTTATAACCTTTCTGAGTTGGATACAAAAATGCTTAAGGCAGTTAAGATCAAGTTAAATCCATTTAAACATTTACACACAACCAAATCCTATAAAACTTAAAAAAAAACACTCAATAGGAGTGACACAAAAGTTAAGAGCACTTTTATTCGGCCTATGCTAAACTACTGACCTAACTAAAGTATTACGGCTTGTTCTAGGCCTTTGGACAGTCCGTTCCCTGAGATGTGTAGCACCATAACGATTTCTATCCACTGTTTTCCGGCGCTTATGGCCCTCGGAGAGGTGGTTCTGTGAAGGCTTCATTTCGAGACTCGCAGCGCTTGTCATCCGCCTCCGTGGGAACAACGTCCTTGGCGAAGTCGAGCAGCTTGTCCAGGGGGCACTGGAACTCGCATCCTGGCAGGGTGAGCTTCTGAGCCTGGCCCTTGGGATCGTTGCGGAAGTAGATCTCCACCCAGTAGTCGCCGCTCTCCTTGTTCTTGTGCAGCTCAAACATGATCATCGAGGAGTAGCGAGGCAACTGGCGTTCCCAGATTTTCAGGGCGGACAGAATGTTCACCACCGTCGAGTCGTGACCGGCGTACATGAAGAGCTTCCTGCCACTGGGCTTCAGGGTGCCGTTCTTCTTCTGCTGCATCTCATCCAGCATTTTCTTGAGGAAGGGTCCGCCCTTGATCTTCTGCATCTCGGGCGTGTACACGTTGTAAATGTAGCTCTGTTCGGCGAGGAACTGCAGCTTCTCCGGGAAGTAGGAGTGCGTCCACTCCGGCAACTCCAGACCCCACTCCTGTTCTGCGAGCAGCGTCAAGTACAGGGACTGCACGTCCTCGGGTTCCTTAAAGCTCAGACCCGTGTGCTCTTCCAGCTCCTTGAACATCTCCAGGTAGGGTTCGATTTCCGCTTTCACCTCGGGCAACTCGTGGACCTCGTTAAGGGCCTCGAAGTATCGCGGGCAAGGCTTCCGCACCAGTAGAAGCTGAATAATAGTTAACATGCTATATTATTTGTATCAACTCTAAAGAGTAACTAAATATTTTATAGCAATAGCTTTTGGTATTTAGATTTGTACTGTGCGGTTTATCTCTCAAGGAACTAACAATCAGGAAGCATATCATTCTATTCCTCTAATTAATCATCGCGGTTATTAAGTATACGCACCGTGTCCTCATTGAGTTCCTGGGAGAAGACAGGTATGGGCTGCCAATTAAAGCGGCTATTCCACTCCATGTCGGTGCCCTTCGGCGGGAAGAAGGCGGCCAGAACGGTCTGCATGGTCATGTGGGTCCGCGGAACCCCCGTCGCCTGGGCGTAGACCGACTGCCGGATGGAGTAAGCGGAGAACCAGAACACAAGGAGCAGCAGCAGCAGGAGCAGCAGCAGCAGGAGAAACCGAAACAGATACAGAACGAGAAGAGAAGGAATTGAGTGATGAGCCAAGCGCGCTTGAGCTTTGCAATTTGTAAACGTCCGCACTATCAGCAGCAACCCCACGGACGTGATGGGGGGACTATGGCACGGGTACACAGAGAGAAATACATGCATTGAGTGAAATATTATTTACTTATTATAGTTTATATATGTTGTATATTGTTAGTGTACAACTCCAACAAATAAAAATGAATACCAACTGTTGCTGTTCTAACTATTAGTGGGCAGATAACTGCTTAGTTATGCGTTATCTATGAGGAACTTTAATTTGGCCAGAAGATAGTTCGAATCTAATCTATTCAACGCCCAGGCATTTCTCTCTGTGCAGGGGTGTAAGGGTTGCGCCTTTTCGGTTCGTTAGTGACTGCTTACTCACATCGGGACTGTAGTTGGGCGCCAGAAATTTGCCATAACGCTTACGCAGCCAAGTACCAATGTTGAACAGCTCGCGTTTGCCATTCTGCAGCGTTGATTTATTGCATGGCATGAGCGGATGGCACGTGAGACAACAGCAGCGGGCGAGGGAAGTGGGGTTCCAAGATCCAGGGAGGAGTCCGAGTCGGAGACGGAGATGGAGATGGAGATGGAGAGAAGTGTTATAAAATAATAAATGCCTTGCATTTTTGCAATTGCATAAACATATGCATGTGTATATGTTAATGCAGCCGCACCCTCCTGCTCGCTTCTTCCGGAAAAACATTTGCATTTCAATTTATTTAAATGCTTTGCCGGAGAATGGGATCCGGGTGCGGGTATGGTGATGCGAATGCGAATGGGAATGGGGATGACGAGGCAAAAGTTTGCGCTGCACAACTTTTTCTCCACTCACATTTGTTATTTGTCCCCAGCCAAAGGGATAGTAGGTCTCATTTACATAGGGATCCCTGGGATACGTATCCGCCGGCGTTCGTGGTCCATGTCGGAATACCTGAAGTTTGGCAATTACACTTTTTATTACTAAACGGATTCGCCACACACGCCACGTACGTGGCATGTGCTAATACCAGCACTTAGATGTATATAACTTTATCAAGCGATCGACGATCAGAAAGACTTTTGAAACTTCTCCCGTGACGCCGAAGAATCTGTAGTTCGTGCGAACCGAGATTTCCGCGGAAGTATTTTCTGTGTGATTAGCAATGAGCTCGTGTTGATAAGCGGCGCTTGTTTTTAAGGTCAGATCTCGGATCTGGATCGGACTGTTTGTAAACCTATATGTGGGTTTCCAGTTAATCATTCGCGGATGGCCGGAGCTCAAACAAAAAGCAAAAGTGCGTCGCAGCTTTATTTTGAATTATTATTTAACGACTGACTGCGGACTGGTTTTGGCCAAAGTATAATTAGGAAGCCTGTTTTCGGTTTGTTTTGAATGATATTTTGTAATTTGTTTTTTATTGGGTCTTCGAAAGACGAATGAGTTAGTAATGAGTATAATCGAGTAACTTAATGTAAGCGTTTTTTGGTAGAACTGATAATTTATGCGTTTTTGTGGCTTTTATTCAGGTTTATTTTAATTAATTACGGACTTGTTAATTAAGGCGCAAAATGACGAGGCGAGTAAGGCATTCTAAAAGCCATGCCTTTATTTTTGGAAATTTTGTTATTTGAATTGTATATAAATATGTACATACAATCATTTTTACCGCCTAATATTAAATCTCATTTTAGTATCACTTAAAATAATTGGCAATCTAATTGCGCATCACAGATACAATTATTTATGACGTTATTTAATTGATTTCGCTGAGGTTCCCACAGCCACTACCTTATTAGAACAAACTTGTATGTACTACCGAGTATCTATTAACTGAAATACGAAACAAAAAATATTTATGGCGAAAGATACATTTACGCTTGACTTCGTGCGATTCTTCTTCGCGAACTGCTACTCACGGCAATTGTGTACAAAGTATCTGAATGAATTCAGTGAGATAAATCGCTAAACAGCTGATATAATAAGAGAATTTTCCACGAGTGGAAATTCCACTGGCTATGCCGTCATATCTGATGGATATGATGGAACTGATGGTTCTTATCTGCTGACAGAATAATAAACTGTAGTATAATCGTAATCACGATTCGGCTTCACGACTTGCACTTTCGCTTCACGCGATTATAGACAAATGCTTTATCAACAAAATGTTGGTTTTGTTGGTCAATGCCAGAATTTCTCAGTGCGGTAAACAAAATCTAGAGTGTGTTGTCAGCTGAAATCGTGTGGCAAAGATGATAACGCCGCGGCGTTAATTGGGGAAAGGTTTCCTAGGATGTATAATGGAAGCTCTATAGAATGAGTAGCTTTTTTATTATTGTAGCCTCAAACTTGTATATCAAACTATGTTTTGATCCAGCACTTCTGTCACACACTTTCCCCCAAAATCGCCTGTTGTGTGGCACGCGTAGTGCTACCTTGCGATTTAATATTAGCTTGTCTACCTTCCAACCCGACTTGGTTTGATCTGATCTGACTCACCACGTGCAGCAGCTCGAGCGTGGACTTATCTGCGGCGGGATCGTAGAGCTTGGCCGTCGACTCGACCGCCGAGTGAGCGACGCACCAGATAATGACCGCCGATGCAATTAGTCCGCCCGTCATCGCGAGACAATGCCTTCTGGTGAAATGCGAGTGCGGCATTTTGGTGGCCGGGCTTTATAGGCGTAGAGCTTCTCAGGGGATCGGATCTCCGATTCTCCGATTCTCCGGTCTCCGGTTCTCCGAGTCTACGAATCTCCACTTTGGGCTAGCTCCGGCTTCGGATTGGGTTTCTGGCAGTCGCGTTGGTCTCGAGGCAGATCGAAGACTAACTCGTGGAGGTCGCGCTTGGCTTTGACTTTGTTGCTTTTGGGGCTTTCGAGTGGGCCGCGAAACTGGCTGGTCTGCAGAGCGGGTGGTGAACGTGTGGTGAACGGGTTTCTGCCCCACTCACCAATGGCGCTGGTTTCTCCGAGTGTAGGGACAGGGATACTATGCTGACGATATTGGGGCTCTGGCACTAGACTTTTCCGAGGGCGCACGCGACTGTCTTTGTGTACTACTGACTTTGGCCAGACTGAGGGGAAATATCATTGCAGCAGTGGAAAAGGCATGAGTTTGGCGCTTTTATCGTTCCATTATCGCCAAATGCTTTCGTCACCGTCGCTCTTGTCACTTCTATTATTCCATTTGTTTGCTATTGTATGTGGCGGGCGGTCTTTTGTCCGAATATACGTGTGTTTGACCGCGCTGGGAGCCCGGACACCGACGCAGTGCCGCAGCGATTGAGGCGTTTTAAAACGCGGTCGCGACTTTTAATTTATATGAACTTTCCGCTTGCTTATTTTTTGCTGTTTAGCGCCGCCGCCAACTCGAAAAACCAACGAATTTGTCATCGAAACTGCGTGTGGATATAAATCGGTGAGCTTCTGGATCCGGCAATATGTTAATTTAACATTAACCATTCTCGTTGCTTAATTGCCGGAATTGTTTATTGGTTTTGGGGCTTGGCTGAATCTGAATTACGGCTTGAAAGTCTGGATGTTTGGGAAAAACAATGTCCATCTGGTATGATTACATACTGCCCTTTTGTGTGAGTTTTTTTGCTTTTTTGTGAGTTACTTCCGATTAAAGTGAGTGGAGCCTCGAACGTCAACTGTTTGAATTTATATCGGGGCGAATAAACGTTATATGATGGATGTGCGGCCTTAAACGGAGAGGGTGGATTAAGATGTTCAAGATAAATGTCTTAATTGCAGTCATTACACCAAGACCTTCCCTTTTGACTTAAAAATAGCATCTTTGAAAAACTCCGTGGGCTGTTTTCTGTCCGAACATAATAAGTGATAAATGGTAAATAAAATCTAAGAACTTTGCAAATATTGTTTGAGTACACATCTTATCTACGAACTTTTCTTAGAATATCGTATCCCAAAAGTATGCAATGCTGAAACTATGATGCTGAAGTAATAAATAAGAAGTAAATCCATTAATATGATAAGATAAAAAACAGACTTTAAGGAGTGTAAAGAGATAATTTAATTTGATTTATTGTGCAAGAATAATAAAAAAACAGCGTAAGTATTTTATGAAACATATCGCAACTTTATAGAGTAAGATAAATATTTATTTATTACAAATTAAGCTGTTGGTAACTTTATGATCTGCCTCCTAGCACCGAGAATCATTATAAAACTAGTTGCATTAGCTCAAAAGTTGATTAGTTAATAATACATCCCCAGCGTGCCAATCATGCAAACACTGAAATTAAGGCACACGAAGCAGTTACACAATTAAATATATTCATTTATTAAGTAACATTAATACTGCACACTGGACCATTAATCATCATCAATTCGCCATCTAGTGATAGCTTATCTTCGCTCCCCCCTGAGTTCCCTTAGCCTTGCACAGTTCAGCATAGGGCGCATCGGGAATGATGTCCCTGGTGAGTTGCAACAACTTGTCCATGGGGCACTGTTTCCCGCAGCCCGGAATCTGCAGCTGCTGGGGCTCCTTGTCGGGATCGTTTTGGAAGAAGACTTCCAGGAAGTACTCCCCAGTTAGCGAGTCCTGGTGCAGCTCAAAGGCAATCAGAGCCGAGAAGCGGGGCATCTGGGCCTGCCAAACATTTAGGGCGGAGAGCACATTGGTGATGGTCCAATCGTGACCGCAGGATAGGAACATCTTGCGGTTGGCGGGCTGCAGTGTTCCGGCGATCCTGTCATGCATTTGCTTCAACAGCAGCTCTACGAAGAAGCCGCCTTTCATTTTGCGCTGCTCGGTCGTATAGGCATCGTAGACATATGACTTTTCAGCCAGGGGTAGCATCTTCTCCGGAAAGTAGTCCTTGGTCCACGAGGGCAGCGGTAAGCCGAAGCTCTGTTCACAGAGCAGTGTGATGAATACATTGGTGACATCGTGGGCGTGGGTTATGTTGAGCCCGGTGTGAATGCTCAGTTCCCGTAGCAAATCGGAGTTCTCGGCATGCAGCTCTTTGACCTCAGGAAGGTCTATCACCTCCAGAACCGCCTCGTCGTATCGGGGACAGGGTGCCTTCATCCTAATGCGCTGGGAAGTAAAAGAAAGATAATTAGCACCGCTTTGATAGAGTTTGAGCTCTTGCACTCCTACCACGTCGGTTTCCTCTGGTTCCATCACTATGGGAATGGGCTGCCAGTTGAGCAGCTGGTTCCACTCCATGGGAGTGTTCTCGGGGGGAAAGAGTCCGGCGAGCACCATTTGCATGGACATCAAGGTGCGTGGCGACTCCGACGATTGGGCACGGATCACCTGAAATAGAAACACTCTGATAATCTTTACTGCCCAATGGGATGGCCCATCTTATCGTACATCAGGCTGATAATACGCTGGGAGGAAATCTTTATAGCGCTGCCGCAGTTGCTTGCCTATTTTATACAGCTCCACTTTAGCACCCTGTAAAATAAAAGCCCCATTTCAGCTTCGATAGTCTTGTTTATGTTTGATAAGCACTAACATTGGTGAGCGCCCCCCATCCGAAGGGCTCGTAGGTTTCGTTGATATACGGATCCTTGGGATAAGTGCTGACGGGAGTGCGAGGTCCATGACGAAAGAGCTGTTGAGTATAGAAATGATATACAAATTTGTGACTGTACACTGCAATCAAACTGACGTCTTTTTTGAATGAATCAAGTACGTATTGCTTTTTTTCAATTGACTTTTGTATGATGACCAAGGAATCAGTTCACTGAATGAAAGCTCGTTACAATTTCTCAAGCTACACAAAACAAGTGATAAGTTACTTGTGACCACTATATGGAAATCTGCCATAGTCAAAAGTCAGACGCTCGATATGTGTTAATTGACACAAATTTTTAAAGCTTCGGTAATTAAAATTGTGTTTGCAACCAAGCTCGAGACCCAGTTGATTTCAATAAATAAATATTTATTCATTATCCAGTTCTTATAGCGCTGGAAATATGCGAGTCAATATGGGTATATAAAATAATTAAGTAATCGCAAAGTTTAGGTTTCATTAAACCGGTTTCAGGTCTTGGAACTGTGCAATATTACGTATACGTCACGCAAACAACAAACTGGCTTAGGAACTGTTGCCAGTAGCTTGCTAAAAGATAATTGTATCGGGTTCTCATTGGAAAACCCAGCTGAGCCATGGTTTACTTATGAGAACACTTCATTGCCACTATTTTCGCAGCATTAGAACATTCGTCACTACACTTTAATGGTTCAGATTAAGTGGTATGACACATACGATAATTTTATGGTCTGATGACTGGCACAGTTGCCAAATATTTAACGAGCCCTAATTCAGCATGAGTTAATTTTTATAAAAAGCCATCTTTCGGCGCAATTATTTCCGATTATTTCTTCTCGCTCACCAGCCACTTACCACGTGAACCAGCTTCAGGCTGGAGTTGCTGACCCTGTCCCTTGGCGGACCGACTTCCACTGAGTCCTGGGAAACATCCCCAGCAGCTTCGGGGACCTCCTGGGGCACTTCAATCTCCATGACGCCTCCGCGGGCGATCAGCACACAGCTCACAGAGAGCAGCAGACCGAGATACTTTCGCATTTTCGCGAACTAAGTTGGCAGATCGTGGGGAACCAAGTGGACCGGCTTGGTTGCGGCTTGTGCGTCGAGTGAGTGCATCAATAGAAGCGCGCACCGCTTTTAAGTCTCGATTATGTGGTCAGCCGGCACTCACACAGCCGCAGATAAGAGCGGCGAAGAGCGAGGTGCTCAATCAGCAAAATCATCCGCTAAAGCAAACACTTCTCAAAATTAGTTTAATTAGTTTCAAACGAAAATGGTTTCCCCCGAAAAAATGAACTCTGTGACCCGTACTTTTGGGGATTTTTATTGCACTGTGCTTTTGTAATACTGAGCTGGCAACTGCTTCTCGCAATTGCTAACGGCCATTCTGATCGATTACGCGCGGTGGTGGCTCCACGAAGCTCCCGTCATGTGGCCGGCACCGCTGCTCCGCCGGCTCCGTGGGCAGCACGTCGGCACTCAGCTGGATGAGCCGGTCCAGTGGACAACGGCGGTCGCAGTCTTTCAGCTGGAGCTGCTCGAGGCAGCCGTGCTCGTCGTTGCGGAGGAAGATCTGGGGGTCGGGAATCATGCGGTTAATTGACATGTTCTAAGATTTAATGTTTTAATTGACATCTTAAGTTTTAGGATTGAATAAACTTGGTAGATTAAAACATAAATTAGAGCAGCCTAATATTTTTGGAAATTCAGAATGTTTGAATGCAGTGTTTTACACTTTTAACACTTATAAAAAGATCCCAGCCGCTAAAGCTTGTTTTGATAGACCCAAAGAAGATTTTGAAGCTTCCCGCATCAATTATAGAATTAAATGCAATTAAGGCTAATAACCGTGGGACTCTCCCAAAACTGCAATTATTAAAACGTGCCCGAGGTTAGAGATATAATGAACTAGCTGTTAAACCGAATTCAATTATATTTTCAACCCGAGCAGTAGCTTCTACCACTTTTCTTACCTCCACATAGTATTCCCCGGTTTCCCTATCCCTGTGCGTCTCGAAAATGGCCATCACCGCGAACCGGGGCATCTGGCGCTTCCACACACCCAAGGCCATAAGGATGTTGCCCACGGTCCAGTCGTGGCCCGTGTATATGAACATTCCGCGATCCTTGGGCCGCAGGCTTCCCGCCCTCTTGGCAAACATCTCCTTGTACATCCTCCCCAGAAATGGACCGCCCTTGATTTTCTGCATCTCGGGGGTGTACGCATTGTAGACGTAACTCTGCTCGGCCAGGAACTGCATGCGATCGGGGAAGTAGTCCTTGGCCCAATCGGGCAACTTGTAGCCGAATTCCTGTTCGGCCAGGAGGGTTATGTAGAGGGAGTTGATATCCTCGGCACTCTGGATCGGCTTTCCAGTCAGGTTGGTCAGCTCGCGGAACATTTGCTCGTAGGGCTCAGTTTCGGCGATGACTTCCGGTCTCTTGAAGACCTCCTCCAGGGCCTCAAAGTACCGGGGACAGGGAGTACGCACCAGCAGGAGCTGAAGCACACATTTTATTTCATTGATAGGGCACCATCTAGGGATATACCCACCGAGTCCTCGTCCAGAGGTTCCGACACGATTGGAATGGGCTGCCAGTTGAGGTGCTTATTCCACTCCATGGGGGTGCCCCGTGGCTCAAACATGCTGGCCAGTGTTGTTTGTAAGGACATCATGGCCCTCGGGGAGGCAGTGGCTTGGGCATGCAGGCGCTGCGAAAGCAAACTGTTTGAGCACGGAATTAATGGGTACTTAAAGAACCTACATCCGGTCTGTAATAGGGACCCATGAAATCGCCGTACCGCCGATTCAGCCAGCGACCCATTTCGAAGAGTTCCCGTTTTCCCGACTGCAATAGGGTTTAAAAAATGCCTGCTTTACTTTGGGTGCTCAGATGTAAATAAGCGGATTCACTCACATTAGTCACATGTCCCCAGCCCGTTGGCTTGAAGCCGTCGTTTCTGTAGGGATCCTTGGGATAAGTGTCCACTGGGGTGCGAATGCCGTGCCTGAACACAATGTGCACCAATTCCAAGGTGGAGTGCGTGGTGTTGGGACGAGTCTTGAAGCACTTCGATGTGGACGCCTCCTTCCGGCCGAGGTCCTTCGAGGACACGCCGCTGTTGAGCACACCGATCACAATCACCAGGCCCAGAAGGCCAGCTCCCAAGCCGAACATTGTGAGCATTTGTTTTCGCGTCCACCGACCGAATATCATTTTGCGGCCTGATTCCCTTTTATACCGATCGAAACAAAGCCGGAAGAGTCGATATGCCGAATTCCCAAAAACGGGATTTGGGTGATGCTGATTTTTGGCGCTCGCTTTGTTATGTGTTTGCTTAATTGCAGTGTTTAATTGCAGTGCTTAATTGCTGGCTGGTTGTCAATCGATCGCTCGTTGGGCTGCAAAGACGAGCTGCAAGCGCGTGCAACTCACAGCGCGTCTGAAACTAAAATAAAGCGTTGACAACTTGATGCGGAGAACTTAAAAGAGAGATAAATCAGCGTTCGTCTATTCGGCTGTTGTTGCGTCAAGTGCCAAGTTGTTGTGGCTGCGCTGACCACTTTCCACCGAACTCGGTTCGAGCCGAGTTACACGCCAAGCCTTCCAAGCTGAAACGAAATCGAAAAAAATCCCGGCTAATTGGGCGTTTCTCATTGAACCAGGCAATTACGTATACGACGTGTGCAACCATTTGCGGAACGCAGTAGCACGGGCCCACAAAAAACAGTTCCAACATCCCATTTTGGGTCTATTTTTAGACCGTTCCGCCCACTGTCTTCCAGTTCGAAATTTCCCTGCAGCTCGCATGGTCATTACCCACATTCAGTTCCTGGCCACTATTCAAAGTGGTTCGGTGTCTCCTGACTCATGGCTGGGTATGTTTGCCCACTGGCGACTTTTATGTTGTATGCGGGAGATCCCCAGCAAAACTTTAGCGTTGTCACACTGAAACAATACTTATTGAAAAATGGCTTTAGTCGAATGTTGTTTTTTATGAAAATATTCGATGAACTCCTAGTTAGAAGTGATACAAATCGAAGTAGAATTGAAGTGAAAGTAAGTAATCACTTAACTTTGATTACGATTTAACTAGATACAGTCTCGGCCAAGATTGCTGCACCTCATGGAGATAAATGTCTAAAGGTCTGATATAATTATTATTATAAGACCCTTGAAACTGCGGTAGGTTAGTAATCAAAGGGCTAGCCATTTAAATGAGCTAATAACTGGGACATGCTAAATGGCAGCTTAAAGTTCGAGGCGCTCTTATTTATTTCAACATGTATTTAGCTTTAGAAAGAATTAAAGTCCACATCTCGAACCGAAAGTGCTTGGAGAAGACAACGGGTAATAAAATTGTGATACATGTGTATGCTCTGGCTGCACTAATTATTTGCTTGTCTCACTTTGTTGACACTTGCTCTGTTGGGAGATAATAATTTTAAGTTGCGTATTCGCAATTTCGACTTGTTTGAACAACTGGCTGGTTTGGCTTTTTGTTCTCCGTACGACTGTCAGAAATTGGCAAATAAATGCCAGCTGAGATCTCTATTTCGCTGCGAACATCTCGCTGTTTGTTTTGTGTTCGTTTGGTGTCACATTCGCCTCACTTTGTTTGCCCGAGAGCTAATTACCCGACCCGACTGACCAAGTCCGTCGCCAGAACTCCGTGTGCGGCATGTGGCTAATTGTTGTCGAAATGAATTTTATGGTTATGGTTAATTAATGGCGACGTCGGCGATTAACCGTTAACTGTGTCTTTGCCAACTTCCGAACTATGCAATTACCTGAAAAATGTGTTAAAACAATGAGTGCGCTGCGTGCTGTTTAAACTGCAATTTCGCAATTACCTCTGACTTTGGCCAGTGAGTCTTGAACTTTCGTCCAGTTTTCGAGTTCATATGGTTTCTGTTTGATCTGAATCGAAATTAGAATCAATATAGTTTGTAGTCGCAATAATAGCAACTAAGTCTGGGAGCAACGCAATCGACATTTGAATTGCATCAGCTGACAGCGATCAACATTTTTTCTGACGAATAGTGAAAATAAATGGCCTTGCTAGCGAACTGTGAAAGTAAATTTAGAGTGAATTCGAATCCGTTCAGATTCATTAAAGAACAAAAGGTTGATACCTACAGTGATCTCTGAATTTAATGCTCTCATTAAGTGGCAGTTTTGTATATCCTTCACTCGGAGTACTCAATTATAGGGAAATGTACATCAAAAATATAGAAATAATCGGCACATTCCACGCAAAAGATTATAGATTATACTTTTACGTCACAAATGCTTACACCTCACTTAGTGGAATTTATTTGAGTTTGTTTTGAATATTTGAAATATGCCTGCTTAAAAGGAAATGTTAAAATTTAAAAATGATAATGAATCATTAAAATTTATATTTAGAATAAAACGTTATGTAATATTGTTCAACAATGTTCTTATCATCGAAAAGAAATGCAATGCCAAGGCATTAGTCCTTATTATAAAAATATTCTCAATAAAATGATTCAACCTATATTGTGCAATCTATTTTCCTAAAATTTTATAATCTCATGCGTTTGTTTGTCGTTTATATTTTTCTCTGAAATTACTACTGGAAAGTACGAAACTTATTGCAAGCCTGTCATTCATAAATTCGTTAGAAACTGAAACCCTGCCCTTGTTGTTTTTATTAGTATTAATATTTTTTCGAATCTTGTTTTTTCAGAAATATACGTATTTTAAATAAGTATTCATAAATTCGTTAGAAACTAAAACCCTGCCCTTGTTGTATTAATATTTTTTCGAATCTTGTTTTTCAGAAATATACGTATTTTATAATCGCATTTGCGAAATTTGGTTTTCCTATTTGCCCGATCCGTTTGTTCAATTTAACTGATAGCCCATGCTATCAGTTGTTTTCGAGCTCTTCCGAATACTCGTAGGCTAACTAATTCATTCTGTTGGTGGCACGTGTGTGCTGCATGTGGCATTTATATTCAGATTGTTGAATAGCTCTCCTAAGCCTATTTGCTAATGACTTTCGCTGGAATTTATGGTCGCTGCGCCACTGCAGAGCCAAAACGAAGGAGGAACCGAAGCGAAAAATATTTTCAAATAATATATTTCCGGCTGGTCAGAGTTTGAGGTGGGAGGTGGGCGGTGGGTTGTGGGTGTTTGGCGTTGGTAGCACGTGCTAAGTTGGCCATAAAACGTGCATTAGACAAACAGCAAGAATGGGCAGCGTCTTCAGGCTCTGGAATCCATCCGAACCACACACACACTGCCGACATTAATATTTATCAGAGCCGCAATTACGATTACAGACATCCAGGACAAACTATCCAGAACCGAGGGGTAATGAAGGCGGGCTAGGGGGCCCGGGGGAAATCTGAGGAATTCCGCCAAATTGTCCGACAAAACGTTGCCGCGAATGCCTGGCTAAATTTATTGATTCCGACGCATTGAAAATAGTTCTCGGTGGGGCAATTTCGAAGATTTGTACGACAAATTTTTTCTCGACGCTCCTCGACTCCACACTTCACTGCTCTTTTTTACGTTTTCGCTGAAATGGCTGAAAATTTCTAACTGACGGGCATAAAAATTCGAACACGCGTAGTTAAGCGCGCACACACGCCCCAATCGGACCCCAAAGGGGCGTGGCCGGGTCTATTCAATGAGACAAAGGGCGCCGGACACGGGCCAGTCTGCGTTTGGGGATTACGTCTGGACCGCGTTTTTTGGCAACAATTTCGAAGGGGGCCTGGGGAAATGGTGGGTTCGAAGTGGGGTGGAGGGGGAAAGCCTGAAAGAGGGGGAAAATCAGGGGGCGAAAGTGGGCAACGGGCACTCTGTGTTGTCGCCTAAACGATAAAGCAATGACAAAAGTCAGCGGCGATTAAAGTTCAATTGGTGTGACCTGCCAATTGGCATAAAGGAAAAGATTTCGAATGGCCGCCAAGTTGCCAAAATGTTGGCCTGTGGAAATTTTCCGGGGAAAATGCCGGGCGTACGGTTGTGAAATGAAAAGTGGAGGCTATGAAAAGGGCGCGAGTAAAGGATTGCTGTACAGATATCGCTGAATTCTGTTGACTAAACAAGACACACTCTTGTTGAATAAACGGGCGCATACATTCTAAGCAAATACATTCTTTAAGTGCCACATAATTATTTGCTGCAATCGTAAAAAGTGTATTATTGAAAGTAACTTGAATTATTAGCCTAAATAGCACATTAGCACATGCCTTTGTATAAAGAACGCACTTATCATGAGAACATATTGCGTGCAAATGAATATATTCAATCTGATTAAATTCCCGAATGCCGAGTTCAAGTTTTGACCATTCAATTTGTGCGAAAGACACGCCTTTAATGGCCCGCCCGGTTATCGCATATTAATGAGTTTATTTAACTTTTTCCGTGCGATTGATGGCCTAGAGGGGCGGGCTGGCGCAGGGTGGGCGTGGCTGGCCTAAAGGGGGTAAAGGCCTGGTTAAATGCGCTCATCTCATGCACGGCGGCTGTTTGTGAAGCTTTTCACAGCAAATTACAACAAATTATACACATAATTACGCTTTAATGCTCGGCCTGCCCCCACCACACCCCCCTTTTTTCAGCCTAACGAGACCCCGCCCCTGCCACGCCCCCGCCCCGCCCCTGTTCTCGTGCAACGCATCAATGCAAAGTAAAATTGTGTGTAAAAAATGTGATAATTAACTTAAGTCCTTTGAGAATTCGCTGCTTTCAAGGGAAAGGTGGCGCCCTCACTCACACACGTGCAAACGGCGAACACACGAATGTCTGTATTTCGGTTGTTTGTTTGTGTACATAAAACCATTGTCAGTTAATTATGTAAACTGTCATACATACTCGTGGGCTTATGTGTTCAAATTATGCTGTCCAAAGGAAAAATGTTGGCATAAAGACTTGCTTTCACTTCAGAAACACACACAGTCACAAACACCCACGGCTACACCACATGTTTACGTACACATGCATATTTGCGCTTAGATGTGTGTGTTGCGACCGGAAGTCTGATTGTAAATCTATCCTTGGGGTATATCGAATTTCTAATGGCAGTGCACTTTATAAAAAGTAACATTTATGCGTAATTAATACATTAATTCTTGCTTAGATAATTCAAGCGTAGATATCTGCTCAATTAAAAATGTAGTGTGTTTAAGACCTAACCTTCATTCTTCATAACATTAATCAAATTGGACTGAAAGTTATTCGAAATGGAATCTGCGCAGAATTAAATATATTTTTTTAACATTAATGTTTGCAATTAATTGCTTTAAGCTTTAAAGAAGCTGAGTATAAAGAACTGGCATTTGTAGAGACAGCATGTTGCATGCCCCCTGTTTCCAACGTGTACATTGCACTGTTTGTTGATGGTATCCCTGATTTGTTTGGCACTTGCCGCTCAACACCAGTGAAATTAACACCAGCGAAGAGTGCATGACTGGTTTGTTATGCGA